AATTAAATTTACTTATTAAGGAAAAGTGATTATTGTATTGATATCAATAGGATAGTTTGAATCACATATATCCTATAGTGGTCCGATATCAGCGGTCCCAACAAATAAACAGGTTTTTGAAAGGAAAAGGACATATGCAAATTTCCGGATCAATATTTCAAATACTAGAATGTTATTTCGTGAATATATAGACATACGTACATGGCTCAATCGATGCAGCTCCGGACGCTGATCTTTCATATGTACGAAATTAAATGTATAAAAATCCTTATATCATCCAATCCTATTTTCCCATCGAGTACTTATGAAAACATATGTGTCAATAGAGCCTTTATATCTTGACTAAAATTGGCTAAAATATACTTAATGTTGAAGAGCTACTGAAACATACACTAGCATAAACATATTTTTTTCCGGGGTCGTCACAGTAATGGTATGTGCCACTTGCTGGTCACTAAGAACCCTTATAACTAATATTGCATCGCCTGATACTGTTCGGTAGGCTGATGCAACTCTGAGGACTGCGATGACCTCTGGCCGCTACCTTACGCCGGTTTTCCTTTTTAAGCACATCTGCCCAGATCTCAGCGCAGTTTAACAGACGCTGATAGTTGTCGACATTAGAAGCTATCTCTCTTCTTGGCCGGGACGTCCTATGTTGGCTATTAGTCGGCTCATTTGTGAGGTGATCTTCCCTGCCTTTCCCGCGATGTACTGAATTAGTAAGCAGAAAGTTAATCTAGGGTCCTTGTGTCTAGGTAGTTTACTGTTTGATTGCCATAAACAGTTAAAAGTACTATAAAGTCGAAAGTCACTCTATCGGATACGGACATATTATCGGTATCGGACATATTAATAGATATAATTTACGGTATAAAGCCAACTGTATTTCTTATATTAGGTTCATGACCGTTTTATACGGTATGAAGTCTGTCGGACTAGAAATATTTATTTCTAAGATGTATATGAAGACTAGGAGAAGTATAAATCTGATTCTAAATATTTATTATTTGACACAAGATTACATTATTATCAGAATAATATTAATTTAGCACAGAGATCGCTCGGAGATCGACCGATTTTCGTTAAAATTTCCGCCATATATCTTGTCGTATATATATTTCTTATCTGAGACTATCACTATCCGAATATTTAAATATTGTCAGTAATATTATTTAAACTTTTTGACTTCATATCAAACGACTATGTTTGTGTATAACAACAAATATAATAACTAAAACCAATTTAAAATTACTCATAACTCAACTACCGAAATTTTTCTTTGGCTTTGAATCCTGTAATATCACAGAAGTGTTAGAGACTTTATTTGAAATCTGTTGTGACTTTGTAAACACTGAATTATTTATAGGAAAACCTACAGACTGCCAGGGAAAGTACGAATCGCATTCAATTTAAATGTAAATTTTTAACTCACATTCGTTTGAAGAGACCGCATTGCATTTTGGAACTATATAGTACAGTTGTTTTTGTTTTCCATCTATTTTAGTCATCCAATGGTCTGATTGAGTTTGTTACACAGTTGTTGTTTGCCTCACCTCACATACTTGTGATATTAAAGCTTAGTAATAAAGCTTCGCTTTTGAAAAGCTTTGCTGCGTCTCGCATAAATGAAAAATAATAAAAGTGATGACACTCCGAATTCGTGCTATGAAATGATAGACTGGGGAAACCCCTTTTATATGAAAAAATTAATTTATCATTTTACTGAAAGCGGTGCAACGCGTATAGCGATTTTTTGTATGATTTTTCTTATGCTTTAAAATATACCTAAAATAATTGATTCAAATATTTTAGAGGACATTCTCAGTCGCAATGCAGCTATTCAACTTTTTCTTCCTTATTAGTTTACAACAACGCGCCAGTTGTTCTTTCTTTTTCGCTGCTTGCGCCAATTGGAGATGCCAAGCGAAGCCAGGTCCTACTCCATCCGGTAGATGTCTTCCTCTTCCTCTGCTTCCCCCAGCGGGTAAAGCGCAGAATGTTTTCAGAGCTGGAGTGGTTTCATCCATTCGGACGACATGATCTAGGCAGTCTAGCCACTGTAGCCTTATGAATATTCATATGACTTTAAAGGAATGCTTCTTTTTTACCCAGAGGATAATTGGGCTAAGACCGGAAGTCGTGAGCTGCTAGAGCCATAGGCAAAACAATCTTTTCTGGCTACTTCCAAGTGAAGGGCACTCTGAGGACTTTTCTCACTTGCGTGAACTTCTACACATGGCTTCATTCTCCATGCTCCTCTGCCCTAATACTTACTGATTTTTCATTCTGGCTTACCTTTTTTGTGACTGCAAAAATAGTGAATTTTCCATTATGATATTATAAATATACCTAAATATGACTGCAAGCAGCACAAAAAGTACATATTTTCGATTAACCGTAAATTCTGCTGCATTTCACTTAACAAATCTTTTCTAAAATTTGCATTAATAAATATTTATAACATGACACCATTTATTATTATAAATATAAATTGTTCAATGATAGCGATGATTACAATTTTCAAAAAGTTCGGAATAAAGTTTACAATTCATAATGAATTATTGAAATTGTGCAACATTTAATCTCCTTTCGGCTTTTCATGAATTTAAACTCAAATATTCCAATATATGGAATGCTGCTTCACATACACAATTAGTTGGTATTTGGGTATATGTACATATTGCGAGAGTACATATAGTATATACTTTCGCAATATGTACATATATTTAATATATATATATTTCATTTATCATATATAACATATGAATAATTCAGAACTAAATATAAAAGCACTTTATCGTCGATCATGTCGAAACTTTCCAAATTGCTTTTGCCTTCTATGTATTTACGGCATCTGATTCCCAATATCAGGTTTCTGTTCTACTATCAGCAGCAAATACTCGCTAATACAAAATTTGATGATATTGAATATTTAGTCGCCGCGACCAAAGCCTTTTCCGAGCAAAGCGTGAATCCTGCTACAAAAATCTTAATGCAAGTGATGAAAAATAGTAGGTATAATCATTGCATTTGTACCGCTCGTAGTACTGGTTAATCCCTGTCAATTTGCAATAACAACTCTATATTTTATTAATAGATAAATTTCGCTTTCTGTAGAGTGTAAGTTTGGTATTATGCTATTTCTTCCGTTAAGTAAAACTGCCTTGGAATTTAGCTTATTGGAGATTTCACCAACAAGTGTGCGGTTTTGCAATGATTATTTTAAGAGTATATGAGACTAATTTACAGTAAAAAGAAACCTTAAGGAGACTTATAGCTTAGTCCCTGGTGAACTTGTAATCCTCCTTGCCGAAATTGGTCATCGTCAACACCGTTTAAACTTCCGGTGGTACATTAGGATTATTCCGAATCTATCTTTAGCGCTAGAGATAACTACTGTTTCGGAATGTAGCTGTGTTCCAGGGACAACAACCGGAAAATTTTACGTGGGTACCTGCTGACGAGAGCCTTACTCCCTTACTCCAAAAGTACAACGGATCAAATCAAAGCGTTGATCAGCGCCCAATTGGCAGTGTGAAATGGACACACTAACCACCTTGGTAGGGTTCGAGGCCTATCTAAAACCTCTGCCGTACTATGGGTCCGGCACCCGGTTGCAATGCAACTCCACATCGAAATGACAAAATRSCAATTCTACCCGCATTTGGGTATAAACCACAACCACCACGATACTCCCCGAGGGGCCAGTCCGCATGAGCATTTTGGAGTTACCTCCAAGGGCTCCTGCTCCCCGTGGTACCAGAATTAAGTCTCCGGTCAGACCTCGTAGCCGAAACTACTACCAGGGACAGTCTCACACATAGGCATTGATGTTTCATAATCACTTTCTCTACTCTACACGGTCCTTACATTTGTGATTTTAACACCATTCAGCCCACCGGTACCAAGCATCATGCGGGTCTCCATCTATTTTCGCGAAAATCTCATCTTGAAACTTAAATTCTCACTGGTCATTGTTGCTGGTCTGGATTTGAGCGTTTCTTTCGTTTAAGCTTGACATTTAGTTTTACATCGTCGGCCTTTAGCTTCGGTCATTTTGCAGGCTCCCTGGTTTCATTTTAAGTGGACAGCTGTCTTTTGGTCCCAATGCTCTCCTCAATCTGGTACGCAAACTACGGATCTTTGGAAAAGATTGGCAAAGACCACAATTGCGTACTAAGCGGTTTTTCCTTCAGCAAAAGCCTCTTTTTCCTTCACGTGATTGAGCATGCAGCTTGGCCTTCCATAAATTTGACCCCTGCTTTGTAAAAAGTTTTCGCCTTCAATCATTCTTTGCTGAGCTTAGTCTTTATTACTGAACCAGCACAATGGGCCTTCCCCGTAGAGCTTTGCAAAACTTCTTCTTCGATTGTGCTATTCTTCCAGTAATTCCGAGGTCCGAGACTGTCACCTTTGTTGTAAACCGGGTTTATCTGTGAACTGTTTCCTTCACAGCAGAGATATGACTGGCGATGCAGCGAGTACTGTGTCCGATGTTAGTAGCACTTTAGGTTGATATCGCAACTCGCTTTTTTCTCTCGTTTACCTTGGTATTCATCATTAGCAATGACAGAAGATATACATCTTATTCTACCAGTATCGTATTGGATAGCTTAAACTTATGTATATAAATTTTTAAGGATTTGCCATAGAAAAGTTAACGAAAATGTCAGAGAGTAGCCGAAGTCCTTCTATTTGATTTCAGAATTCTAATTTAACATAAAATAACATACGAAAGTCTATATATACACATATAACCGGAAACAATATTAAAGATCAAATGAATTTACCACAAGCAACTTCCGGAAAACTTGCTAATATACAAACTTCATTAAAGCATTAGTAATCGCAGAGACAAGGCTTCCGGCAGAGAACCACAGCTCAAAAAGAAATACACACACTTGGAAAAGTATATATGTTTACATACATAAAAGCAATACCCTACAAAATAACAACTTTTCCTCCAAGATAATATCAACCCAGCAGCAAAACCATCTATGGATGTACTGCAGACGCTCTGTTTATCTGAAGGAATTACAAATAACAGTGGCAACGATAGTGGTTTAGACTGCAGCTTGGAAAGCTTAGGTTTTATTGGCACGAGCGCGAGTTTGATTGCAATGTCTGGTGCCGCTGCCGATGCGAATTTCACACTTCCACCAGACAATCTGTTGGATTTCGAATTTGACCCACTCGAGCGTGTTGTTTCCGCCATTGTGCCGGCGTTTTTCGGCATTATCGGTGTGGCAGGTCTACTGGGCAATGTATTGGTCATATTCGGTGAGTAGTATATGGAATTGAAGTTTTTGGCAAACGTTGCATTTATGACAACTTTATGATTCGATTCTTCTTAGTGTGTGATATCAATACATGGTTTTGTACGAATTGTATTGAAACCTCACATAATAAATTTATGAATGATGGATGGTTGTCAGTTTCTTAGTCGTATAGTGGGCATCAAATACTTAATCTGATTTGATCAAATTTGACCCGGACTGACAAAAAAAAAAAAATTACTTTTCATTTATTTTGATACCATCACTTATCTCTCTGACAACAACACAATGACTTTGCAGCACATTTTCTATAACTAAATCGTTGTTATCGTCATTAATAAAAATGGATGGAAATACACTTCTTCGCTGACCTTACGACCTTTAATGTTTGCTTTGTGCCTATTTCCATTGCAAAAATCGCTAGATTCACTGCTCGTTCAGTTTAAATGGACCAGTCCGAGTCAAATTAGATCACTTAAAAAATTCACTCTATCAATGCCTTTCTGGGCGTCTTTTAGTAATTTCTCTATTCTTCAACTGCGCAATTGCTATTCCAAGCTCCAGCTTGACTCTAACTCACCATCTTCCTATATTAAAGTTAATTATTTTCCTGAGCGGAAATGAATTTTCTTGCCGCCTTGTCTTTATTTTGTTGCTTAGCACAGGTGTTTTTTTTTTGCTGTGGTGACATTGTTTAGAACGGATGTGGTTTTAATTTTGACTTCAGTATTCTCCTTTGTCTTTATAAAAATTCTTATTTCGACACATTTTTGTACACACAAATTTATTTATTCTATATATTGATCTCTGCTCATGTACAGTTGTTGTTGCTAATCAACAAATGCGCTCCACTACCAACCTGCTCATCATCAATCTCGCCGTCTCCGATATTCTGTTTGTCGTCTTTTGTGTCCCCTTCACCGCTGCGGATTATGTGCTGCCCACCTGGCCGTTTGGGAAACTGTGGTGCAAGTTCGTGCAGTATATGATTGTGGTCACCTGTCATTGCAGCGTCTACACGCTGGTCTTGATGTCATTCGATCGCTTTTTGGCTGTCGTTCACCCGGTGACGAGTATGTCATTGCGCACGGAACGCAATGCGATGCTGTAAGTATGTATAAGTGTGACTGCACAAAGGTATGTGGGAAGAAAGCTGTATATGTAGTGTTTCGTATGCGTAACTAGGGTTGTCATAAAAAAAATATGAAAATATTTATCTCTTGAACAAAAATCAATCTGGAATAAAGATAATCTGTGTTTTTAGTTATTCTTACTTAATTTTTTCCAATTTCTTGCCCTTGAAATGTTTAACAGATACTTAATTTGTATACAAATGGCAACCCTGTTACTTCACTTCTACATGCATAATCACATTCGCTTCTCATATTAACTGTAACTCCAGCGCCATCTTCTGTGCTTGGATACTCATCCTCTCCTCAGCCGTACCAGTGGCTTTGGCGCATTCAGTCCGTCTTTACTACTTCAAAGGACGTAGTTACACAGCTTGCGTTTTCTCCACCGAGGAGGAGGGTTGGAGTCTAATCGGATTCCAGGTAATTATGCCTTAGGAATTGCTGAATTGTACTGCAAAGGCATTTTTGTTTAGTATATCTACATTAGTTACCTTATTAGTAACCTTGTTAGTTACCTGTTTGTAAATTTAATTTTGTAAGTTCTGAATTCAGTAGTACTGAAATTAAGTTCCTTGTCGGAATTATCAAGTTTCCAGAATGCACATTCATTCCATTTGTTTCTGTTCTCATTCTAGATCTCTTTCTTCATGTCTTCATACGTAGCGCCTTTAACATTGATATCCTTCCTTTATATGGGTATGTTGGCCCGTCTTTGGAGAGCCGCACCGGGTTGCAAGCCGTCCGAAGAGTCCAGGTAACAGTTTTAGAAGATTGGTAATAATTGGTAAAAATATCAAAAATTTACAAAATGTAGGGGGTTTCAAAAACGTTGAATTTTTCCCCAAAATTTTGGTTTTAGAGAAAGATTTTCCGAGATCAATTTTAAATTTTTTTTTCACTTTTTTTCGAAAAAATTTTATCAACAATACTCTGTTTGGACAGATTTGAAGCAAGGTTGTGAATATCTACCAGTACTCACTGATTCAACATCTTCTTTTCACAGAAAAGGTAAACGACGTGTAACGCGCATGGTTGTTGTTGTGGTCCTGGCATTCGCAATATGTTGGCTGCCAATACATGTGAGTAAAAACGCTAAAAAAAAAAGAACACAAAATATCAATCTCGCAATAATTAAAATTTACTGCACTCTTTAAACCTCAAAACATAAATGAAAATATTAACACCATCCTTCCATACTCTCTGCTCTCCCTAGCTCATACTCGTCATGAAAGCTTTGACTTGGTATCCCGGTACACATGCTTCAGTCATTGTGCAAATCATCTCACATGTCTTGGCATACACGAACTCCTGCATCAACCCGATTTTGTATGCCTTCCTCTCTGATAATTTTCGGAAGGCCTTTAGGAAGGTAAGCTACCTATTCATTTTAAATTACAAACAAAGAGAATCGCTAATAATGAAATAATTAAAAAATTTAATGCACAAGTTCTCTGGATTCCAGGTCGTCGGCTGTGGCAATCAACCGCTCTTTCCAATGTCACATCAAGCCACAAAAACAACACGCACCACCGGCAATGTCACATCAAATGCTGAAATGCTGTAAGCCACATAAATACATATGTCGTTTCTTCTAATGCAATGTCATTAAAAATGTAAAATATTTGAGCAAACATTATTACAATTAAATTACATCACAATTTAATTAGAAGGAATGGTGGCTGTTTTTTGTGTGGTCGGACTTTGAAAAATTTATGCTTAGTTAAATATACTGCGGGACAGTGGATTATTTTTGAGTTCAAATAAAAAAGTTTTGAGTTATGTGAAAAAGAAAAAAAAAAAAATGAAAATTAGTATATCGCTGAGTGAGAACAAAGCACTTAATATTTTGTTTAAAACTTTTCTTTGTTTCTCCTTCCTTTGGCGTGAAGGTATTGTACAAAGTAGCGACGCGATAATTTCATAAATGTACATCAGTCAGCATTCAAGTAAAATATTATTAAAAAGAGTATTATAATATATTAAATTTGTGTGCATTTATTTATTTTAAATTCTTTTATCATGGCATATTGAATCAACCCTTTTGCACTCTTTGTGTGCATTTATTTATTTAAAATCCTTTTATCATGGCATATTGAATCAACTCTTTGCTCGTATTCATAATTAAAAGTGAGAAAAAGTTTTTGTAAGAAGTAGTTAAAATTTCTTTTAAGTTTCTGCGGGCAAGTTCTAATTTTTATTTTTACAATTTTCTTTATCTTCTTAAATATTTATACTTTCATCACCATTAAGGGTATAAAAATGACGTCTTTAGTATCGTTTTATAATTTGTTTCGTTGTCCTGACGATGAATAGAGTAAAGTGTTCTGTTGTTATGGCGATACTCATATGAGCATTGGTAAGAAGACTATTAGTACGAAACCTTAAGCCATTGAAATCTAAAACTTATTATATTTAATGCGGCATAAAGCTAGAAGATAAACTGGGTTGTTACTAAAGTTGCTTTATCACTAATACAATTATAAAAAAAAAAAAAATGCGCAAAGTGACTTTAAGGGCAATGATATCGTGTTTTGCTAACAACAAAGACAAAGACTTCCAACATATTTTAATATCGAAACTTGTTTCAGAATAGTTTTAAAAATTGTAGCTTCTATTCAACTTCCATGCATTTAGCTGAAGCACAGTTTTTAGAACTAAGTAAAAATTTTCCTTTAAATATTTCCACATATTCCACTGCGTATACGTAACTTAAGGAGAATGTTCTAATTTGTATGGTATATGGTAGGCATCATATGCGTTAGTGTGTTGGTAACTAAATATATTATAAGTATATGTAGATATGTGAGAATATGTGCTAACGTATAAGATCGCTTGTGAATTTTTCCAGCTGCGCTGCTGTCCTTGATGTAACTAATTCGATTTTATCAAGAAATCAAATTTACTTTACATTTCCTAAATATTGCTGCAGGCTTACAACAAATTTTTACACCTGCGTTAAATCCAATTAGTGTTAGTTTACTTTTAGGCAGAGTATCCGATTCAAGTTTTGAAATAAAAATTAATATTCGAAGAACAGCATTATGTGGGGAAGGATGGTGGTAAAGCACTCTTGTTTTGCTGGTTACCAGTAGTGTAACTATAAGTTGCGAACTCCTTTTCTGTAAGTAATCAATTGTTCTTACTGAATGACTAAACTGCTTCCATTTGTTAACTTCACTATTGCAGTGAAATATGGAAACAGTTTTAAATCAAAATATGACAGTAACTCAGCTCAAAAAAATTTATATTTGGATATATAAAAAAAAAAAAATTTAACTGTAGGGATATATTAATACGCATATTTAGGATACATAGTAAAAATGTTAAAGAAAAAAAATTAAATGAAATTTGAAAAAATTTCACTGCTTCAGTGATTCCGGTCTTCAACGTGGATTAACATTAAAACATTAAACAAATTCTCAATAAGTTGACGAAATGGCGGCGTTTTAAGAAAAGGTTAATTTTACCCAAAACTTTTATACCTATTTGAATTTGCTTTTTTTGGCTAACAAAAAAAAAAAAAAAAAAAAAAAAAAATGCAGGAAAAATTTGATATTGATCGGATCATTTGTCTCTAAGTAGTTAATCAAGCAAATTTGAAGAATATAGAGTCAAGTAAGAGTGCTTTAATTATAAACATACAGTTACATATTTTATTAATGGTATAGACTATCGAAATATAAAAAACAAATAATGAATAATAGTTTTTCCAAAAATTTCACATTATTACAACGCTTAACTACCCATGTAAAATGGATTCAGTCATACAAAGCCCGTGTTTTCCCTCATACGAGTACGTTCTTAATAAAGACTTCAAATTTTATGGGGAATATCGAAAGAAAGAAAGAAGAATCGAAAGAATATTCTTTGGCATTTATTTTTTGAAGATTATCTCTTTCAAATGTTTGTCGTGGCTACATCTCAGATAGTCCAATTTTCGATGACTTGTTTGAGCATTTCGACTGGCAAATGACACGCGTGATGCTTTACTGCAATTTCTGACTCGAAGAAGGATTGTCTTTACACTTTGCATATCTCCGCAGGAAAAAGTCTAACGATGTGATATTACACGATTTATGTGGCTAATCGACCAGCCTAAGCGTGAAATTATCTGCTCACCGTAGTATTTTCTCAATAAGTCCATGGATTGATGCAATGTGTGGGAAGTGGCGCCGTCTTGTCGAAGCCAAATGTCGCCAAGATCACTAGCTTATATTTCGCATCAATTAGTCGGTTATCATGACGCGATAATGGTCGCCATTGACGGTTTCGACCTCACCGGCATTATTTTTGAAGAAATATGAACCGATAATTCCACCGATCCACAAACCACACCAAAACGTTGTTTTTTCTGAATAAAATGCAAGTGCTACCATTTTATTTTCTTCAGATTGGGGCTCTTCGCTGAACAAAATTTGGCTTGAAAACGTACGATCTTTTTGGGACTTTTTAAGAGCTCTTAGAGCGAAGTAATGTCGGTTGACAAGGTCGAGTGGCTTTAGTGCTTTCAATTTAAGATCTCGTACGTCAGTCCGAGCATCCTGCTAACTTTCAAGACTCTCTATGGTTTTCGCGCATATTCTCAGTACGGCTACAATTTTTTTTCACAGCGTGCTGGATGTGATCTCTTCGGTCGAATATTATCAAATAATGAATGTTAAGTCTATAGACTTGTTGGTGGTGGTGGTGGTGTTGCGAATAGTTCGCTCAGTAGGTCGCTTATGTTGACTTTGAATTGAGCGCAACACGCGTAAATCATTCTTCACAGAACGTGAATTTTGGTAGTAAAGTAAAACGATTTGTAAACGTTGTTCAGGGGTAAATCTTTCTATGATGAAATGCCAAACAATAATAAACTAAAATAACATAACGACATGACACGACTTACGGGTGATCTGCCAGGAAAAGGCTTTGAAAATAGTACCTCTACTTAGTTCACCCGTTATAGATATTATTGAAGTGCTCAAATTCATTACTTAAATATAAACTTTTGACACTCAGATACCTCCAATGGATAATGCATACTTCCGTTATTCGAAATTGAACAAAATTTATTATATTTGAATTTAGAATAGCTGAAATTTGGCGTTGGAAACTGAAAAACACTTAGGAGCTCTATAATTATGGGAATTTGTATTTCGAAACCAGGTACTAAGTACACTAAGTACTACTTTGGTTACAATATGTGAAAACGAAATCTTATTCTCTTTGAATTATTTTATTCTTGGAGAAAGTTTATTTTTGTAGCTGAATTTTTTATTATCATTAACAAGTTAGTTAGATAAGGTAAAATAAATTTTTAATTTTTTTTCCGAACACTTTGGAGACACTTGTGAGCTTAAATAGTAAAAAAAAATATATGAAAAATGTTACTATTGAGCATCGAAACTCAATGCCAATTCGTGGTCATATGAGTTGGAGTGAAAATTAAAAAAGGAATAATTTCTTATGCATAACGACGTTTATTGAAGAAAAATGCATAAATGTATATGCATTAGTATTGTTAATTCTACTCGCTAGTCCAAACTAAATAACCTAATGGGGATTTGCTTCAAGGTCGTCACCAGTCNATAAATATATTTTATCGCCGGAATATTCTGCAATTTTTGTAATGTTTCTATTTATATTCATTACACATTCAATATATTTATTTGATTTTGACAAAACATTTATAAAATAAATATTCAAATTTATTCAAGTATTTGTATTTAAAGCACGCACATGAATGTGTCTATGTAAACATGCCTAGAGGTAGCAGGAAAACCACCTACCACCATAGAAAAAAGTACAACAGATTGTATAATACAATTTATACAAAATTCAGCGCACATTAACACGCAGAAAATTCATTCATAATATGCCAAAAAATGCCAATTTCTTTACGTTAACGTGACTTGGTTAAGTCATGAAATATTTTATTGTCAGAGCAAGCTGTGCACAGCAAAAACCAAATAGCGAGCATCGAAAAGGGAAAAAGGAAACAACAATTGACATACCGCTAATAATTCAGTTAGCTGCGTCGCCATGATTTTATCTGCAACGGTTTTTGCAAAATGGTTTTCGCTGCGTTGTCAACCTTCCCCGCAGCCATCAATCATAACATTGACAAAAACCGACAACAGAAAGGAGATAACTGGAGGAAAAATGCCGCGTCGTCGTTCACTTTCACGGTAAAGTGCCTCCGCGAGCGCATGTGTTTCTATCTACGCACACATATACTTACATACATACTTATATGTACGCGTATGTAAAAAGTACTTTCGCTGCCGCTTTTAAGCTCCTGTCGTTGAGAACTTACGCATGAACGTAAGCTATCGTAATTTATCACCACTCAATAGTTCAATTTTTGTCATTTGTTTCATTTGACGTTTTCCGCAGCCACCTACGATTTTGCTTCGATGGAAAGGAAAGTACTTGCTTCACATTCCAATAGCATTAATGAAGAATTATGGTGCGTAAATCATGCTTGTTTAACTGTTCTGAATATTCGAAATAGTATTTGTAGAAAAGAGGTAGGGAACCCATGAAAGATAGCTGAAAAACATGTTTTGTTATTTTATAAAA